ATGTATTTTTTGGGGAGGGAAGCAGGGTAGGGGTGGTGACAGCAAAGAGCAGTAGGCTCTCCAGAGCCGCTTGAAAGGAGGGACTCTGGGCAGACACCACCCCATTGAGCTCAGAGCTCACATGCAGAGCTCCAGCAGGAGCTGGTGAGAGCTCACTAGCAGCCAGGATCACAGAGAGGGACTGCAGCCACAGCCCCTTCAGCTGAATGACGCACATGTACAGAGAGCTCTCTTCAGTGCCATGTACCCATGCCTTCAGGTCACTATTTAAATCATGTTAACAGAGATGAGATTTTACAAGAAATGGGAAGGGCAGGAATGGCAAATACATGCACCTACTACTTTGCTGACCTGCTAACAGCAGCAGGAGAGTAGAACTAAGGGATGATATATCCTGCTTAAATTCAAGACTTTTTTTCTATGCATGTCTAGGGACTTTCAGATGATGAGAGGTCACTCAGGCCCAGATCCTCAGTAGGAATCAGATGCCAAAATATCTTTGAGCATTTTAGTCTTATTCTGAAATCTCATTCTCTAGACCAGCAGTGGCCAACCTGTACTGTGTGTCCCACAAGTGGCGCAGGCAGACTGAGGAGGGGACAAGTCACACAGCAGCAGATAGGGCAGGAAGCAGAAAGAGCAGCAGCAGATGGATTAGGGAGCACAGGGCAGGAAGCAGAAATCAGAGCAGCAGATCATGCTGGGGGAAAGGGATTGGAGTGTCACTCAGGGAGGTGGGGGCTAATTTGTGGCAGGTCAGCCATAAAGGTTGGCCTCCAGTGCAGTCTGGACCATGCCCCCTCTGTTCTAGCTAACCAAGCCCCACTCCCCTCCAACCCTAAACCCTACTCTCCCCAGTAAGACAGAGAAGAACTTGGAACAGGCAGAGAAAGGTTGTATAAATAATGACTTCTCCTGTAATAATACTCCATATCCTTCTAGGTGTGCAGTGGCCCTTCGCAGCCTCCTCAGCCTATTGTCATTCCAAAGCCTGTTCAATCTGTCATCCATGTACCTTTGCAACCAAGCTGTCCAGGCCGAGGCAAAATGGCAAAGCTCCTGAATCCAGAAGAAATGACATCCAGGGATTATTATTTTGACTCTTACGCTCACTTTGGAATCCATGAGGTAAAGCCTTTTATCTTGTGTCTCATTAATACTGAGGAAGGGCACTGTTATTTTCAGTTAAATGAGTTCATAGCTGATTTCTTTCCCTCTCCTGTTGGACACACTAATTTTGCCAGGATCTGATGCTTCAATCTTCATGTAGGCCAATGGTGCCTTTGATTAAGTGGTAACGGATGAAACACATTCCTCCACAGAGGACAGGCTCAAGGCCTCTGGCCTATTTAAATCTTCAAAGCATGGCTTCATTAGGACTTCAGTGGTGCATAGATCTTGTGTTCTCTCTCTGCACAGCTGTGTATTTCTCCCAAAGTACTACTTAGCATGACTATACAGGTTGGGGAATTGGGCCCACCAGGCAATTAAAGGGCCTATTCATTAAGCTAAAATCATTCTATGCTGAAGCATTTAAACATAGATGCTGCACACAATACACAGTGGACCATATTTGGCCTTCAAACATGAGCGTCTAACTCCTGCTGACTTCAACAGGAGATGTAAGCATCTCCCTTAGGGCAAATATGGCAAGGACACCAGGACAATCTCTTATGTTTACATGACACAATATGGGATCTTTGATGAATACAGAAATGTCTTGGGCATCAGTGGCATATAATATAATTATATCAGCAAATAAATTGAGCAAATTTGGTAGAGGGTTATTGACACCATTCTTGCCCAACCTAACTACCCCCAGCCTAACTACAACCCAAATATGCATGGTTTTGGGCTGTACAAAGCTTCAGCAGGTGATTCGATTTGGAGGAGATTTGGCCCAATTCAGTGGCTGAATCTCAGACTCTGAATCGAATCAGGGGACCAATTAAAAGGTCCGAATCGATTCAAAGCTCTCCGAATCTTTGAAAAAGATTCGGAGAGCTTTGATGATTTGGGCAGTCCCTGGTGGCTGCTGCAAGTAGCTGCAGCCAGACTCTGAGCTGGTAAGTACTAGGGATGGGGGAGGGGACCATGAAGGGACCCCTGCCAGCCCCCTGTCCCCGCCTGCTCCCCCAGTCCCACATGGATGCCACACCCGCCCCATCTCCCAGCTCTTTAAAGAAAAGCCCCAGTGCTCACTGGTTGCTGCTGGGCAGGGGGTGATCCCTGCTGCTCCCCACTGCCCCATGCTGCATGGGGGACTCTGCACAAGGCCCCAGCCCCCCCATGGCTGTCCTGCCCGCCCCAGCTCCAGCCCTTTAAGAAAAAGAAACAGAGAAAAACCCTAGGACTCACTGCTCCTGCAGCAGCCTCTAGGCTTTAGGGGGCTTGTGGCAGAGCCCCCCCCGCGGCGGGGGGCAGGCAGATTCCCCCACTCAGCATGGGGCAGTGGGTGGCAGTGGGGATCGCCCCTCCACTCGGCAGCACCTGCTGAGTTGGGGCTTTGTTTTTTTCCAAGTGCCAGAGCTGGGGCCAGCGGAGCAGCCATTGCCGGGCTTGGGGGGGATGGGCCTGGGTGATTCAGAGATTTAGAAATTCGGCAGCAGCTGAATCTCTGAATCAGATTTGGCCAAATCGATTCAGGACAGTGATATGAATCAATGAATCGAATCACTGTCCCCCGAATTGGCTGAATCCGAATCCAAAGCAAATATTAGCTGCTTTGCACAGGCTTAATGGTTTTACATGGAGGCATGTCTCTGTGAAGTGAAGTTCAAATCCACTTGAGTTCAAATGACTTCTGAGAGTTCTTGGGCTACTTTTAAATTTGACTGCCTAAAGTGAAGCTGTTCAATCTATATTTATGCACTTAGATTGAGATTTTTCCAAACAACCTGAGATTAAGACTTTTCAAGTCTCATTCAAATAATATGAGCTGGACATCCAAACTCCTTAATCATCTTTGAAGATCTCAGCCTTAACATCAAATAATTTACCTGTGAAAAATCAGGCAAATGTTTTATTTGGTTTGCCTTCATAATATAAGGCTCAGGCTAAATTATTTGATTTGCCTTCATCAAATAATTTACCTGTGAAAAATCAGGCAAATGTCTTTGGTGCTATGATGGCAGTAGCAAGGACCAAGGAACAGTGAGGAATGGGATTCAGAGCAGAGGAACAGGAACTGGACCAGACTTATCACAGTCCCCATGGAAACACTGACTTAACACAAGGATCACACCAGAACTGTCCCTTCCATTCTTTACCCACTTCAGTGTTTGATATTGGACCAGACTCCACAATGACAAAATATCCTCTTACATATCAAAAGCTATGGCTGTACACAGCCTCCAGTACAGGCAGATGGATGAGCAGTCAGTGTATAGTGATCTTCTAAACTTGGGCTTCCATCTGATGGTTACAGCTGATTTCCTACCTATTGGCATTCAAAGATCCATTTATCCTACTGCCTAAATTATTCAGTGATGACAGCAATGTAATGAAAGGTATAGCCACTCAGATGTAATATGTAACATTTTCAAAAACAACTAAGTGTACCTTATGTGCTTACGTTACTTTTAAAAAGGGCACGTAGCCCAGTTAAATATTTTTGACTGATGTGATTTGACCAACTTTCCCCACACTAGTACAAAATAAGAATCAGGGGCCTAACAGTGGCAAATTTAGAAAATTTGGCACCTGAAGGGAGAGATAGGGATCCAACCTCCGAATGTAACATGCATATCCACTAGGAACCAGATAAAGACCCCTATACCAATGAGATAATATAATGCTCTGTTTAAATGTAGGGTAAGAGTAAGTGCTACTCCAAGCTCTGAAATTGACTCACTGTGGGTGTGTCTATATGAGACGTTTACTGCACAGTTGACTAATTAACTGCACAGTAAATGTCTTGTAAATTCAAGTACTACCCTGCTTCAAAGTTTTTTCATGTGCAGCAGCACATGTGTAGATGCTGACCAGCTGGCTGGGAGCCGCCTGCCAGCAAGTTCCACACTGAGACACCCTCGTGCCCCAGCCAGCCCTTCTGCAGCACACTCAGCCCAATTGGAGTAGCCCCACATGCCCAGGAGCTTCCAAGAAGCACTAAACTGTGGGGCAGTTTATTGCTGGCCCCTCATGACACATGTAGACACACTCTCTGTGACTTTGAGCAGGTCTGTTTTTTCATAAGTGTCTACTGAACTAAGTTGCCTCTGTTTTGAGGTGCCTATCTGGGAATCTGAGGCAGAGCCTCAGGAGATAGTCCAACCATTGCATGAATGGCTTGTGTGGGAAAGCGTGAAGGTTTGCATATGTCCACCGCAGTCCATTTCTCTGACTAGTTTATCCTTTTGGTTGGCCATTTAACCAGTAAAATAGTATCTAAGAGGAACATAGATATACAAATGAGATGGTGCTCATTGTTAATAATTCACGTATGAGTGGTTGCTTTGATGTATAATGAATCCGGTTTTGGTCCAAAAGGACTCAAAAAAAACTATTCAGGTTGAATTTTAATGATGTGTTAATGCTGAATTGTAATGACGCTGCAAATCCTGTGCCAGAAGTAAACACACAATGCCTTTTCCTCTCCCTGATACAGGAAATGTTAAAGGATGAGGTGCGTACACTAACATATCGAAATTCCATGTATCACAATAAGCATGTTTTTAAGGATAAGATTGTATTGGATGTTGGAAGTGGCACAGGGATCCTCTCCATGTTTGCTGCCAAGGCAGGAGCCAAGAAGGTATATGGGGTAAGAAGAATTTTCCATAACTTTTATTATGGTGGTTGTTGTTGAAGAGCGGGGGATAGGAGTAGGGCTTGATTTTGTTTTTCCAGCTTGGTGTTTCATTTTTGTGTGTGTTTCCATATCTTAGTTCGAAATTCCCTTTTACATTCTGGGTACAGTCCTTCCCTGATGTAGCTGGATGCAGCACCTGTAATGACTTCAATGGAGCTATACCCATTTGCAACAATTAAGATGCTGCTGGCCCATGGCATTCTCTCTAAGAAATGAACAGGTTCCTCCTTCCACTCTTCCAGTTCTCCTTGTATTAAGTCAACTATATGGCCCACAGGCTGGACCAAGCCCAGGAAAGCAAGTCTTGTAGTCTGCAGGGTTTCCTGTAGACTGGATGACGCACCACCGGATCCAGCCTGCAGAGCTTTTCAGAGCAACTACCAGAGCAGCTGTGTTGGTGGACCCAGCACCCAGGAGGTTAATGGTACTGCTGTCCTGGCCAGTGAATTTCTGGTTTGTGAACCCTATTGGCCATGCAAATCTGTGACAGTGAGGCAAGCAGCAGCAGCAGATGTAGCCGCCAACTCAAATGTGTTTGACACAGCTTCATTAAGCTGTTTGTGTAATCTGCAGTGATCTTACTCAAAAACATTTGCATTCATTTTTATGATACAAAAAATTAAAGAGACTGGCTCCTCTTTTCAGCAAGAGGGAATGTGTTGATTATTGTAATTTGACTTATGTTCTCAGCACGTTCAAATCATCAGGAGCAGATTCTTCCAATAGAGTCCCTGTGTATAACAACCAGCGGAGCCCAAACAAAAAAAGCATCTGCAAGCTTTTCGGTATCTATTACTGCACTTGGGGAGAGGCAAAGAATGATTACCTTAAATGCACTGAACATTAGGACCATTAAAGTGTAGTTCTACTCTTGAGAGGTTATTATATAGAAATTGCATCTTCTTACTACACAGATCTGGTCCCTGTGTGCATTCAGAGTCATTTCTGCTGACTTTAAAATGACAGATGCAAGTCCTTATTGCTTTCCACTCCTGTTTGCTCTGCAGAACAAACACAGCTCAGAGGAGGAGAGTGGGATTCTATTTCTTTTTGTGCCTCCTCAACAAAATAATTGTCTAAATTCCAGTCAGCTACAGCTGTGCACTGAAAGCAAAGGGATTGTGCTGAAGTCACCAAGGGCCAGATTGGAGGGTCTTTATTATGAGTCAGGAGGCATGAAATGCAAAGAAGCTAAAGCAAGTTTTAGGCCCAAATATTCTAAAGTGGGCACGGACTTTGATCCCATAATGTTTGGATGCTTAATCCGAAACCTCAGCTGCATCAAATTCACAACTGCAAAATAGAGACGGAGAAACTATTATTAAATGCTTTAGATTTAGAGGCCAGACTGAGTTGGGAGAAAGAACCAGCTCTTTTTATATGAAGAGCATATTTCACCTGAGGTCTCTGTGACAATAGACCTAGATCCCCCTCCAGAACAGAACAGAACAGAACAGAACAGAACAGAACAGAACAGAACTCTATGTCATCAAATCGGGGCAAATATCCTCAGCCCATCCTGGATTTCAGAGCATGTTAAAATACCAACATTTGTCACAAGTTATCAAGCAGTGTTGAGATGCCCCAGTTTTTCTCTAGATTACGAAAAAATGTTGGTATTTCAGATTGGACCATGTGGGAGATGCTGGCAAAAGCAGCTTTTCTAATGATAGCTATGGTCCACACCTGATCTACCAGCTGGAGTGCCATAAACAACACCCTCTCATTTCTCATTAATCTGTGATCCACGTCTCTTTTAATCCAAGACCCAGATCACTTTTCTTCTTCTCTTGGTGTTCTCTTGTTTCCCAATTCATGTTCCTGAATATATTTCCTTGTCATTGCCTACTTGTTCAGCCATCTTCTAGCAGCACTATGAGTCTACCGGTAGAAGAGGGCCAACATGGACACAGAAACAGTAAAATTCTTAACCAGGCAAGATCTTTCTTGGGAGATGCCTGTTGTAAGAACCTAAGATATAAGAAAGGGAGTGCTTGTTCCTAGAGGGGGTGAAACCATGAGGGACTACTAGATACTGTTGATGACTTTTGCACTTGCGGTCACTTCTGGCACTGCAATACGCAATAAATTAACAAAAGAATAGGCTCTCTGAACAAATGTATATGAATTCTAGGGTATTTTTAGTTAAACCTGGCAGCAAAGGTAATTATCAGTTAAACTGACATGTTATGACATGAAGACATACAGTTGACGTAAGTTGAACTGAGGATTAATTAAATTAGAAGATAAAACACAATACATGGAATGTTACAGAGCTACAGCAAATTAGTATGATGGATACATTCAGATTTTAATGCAGCACAAGGTTATATGCTATACCTCTCTCTGAGCCAGTGACCTAGATATCAATTCCAGGGTGCATTGGCATAGTTAGCTTTGTTGGGCTTTTTACCACAGGCCTCTGAAGTAGTTGTAGTGTTCATGAAACACTGGTCCCCATTCTATGTAAAGTTGGGGCAGAACTGGTCATATGTGTTTCTTTGAAACATAAGGGGAAATAGTTCCCTATGTGCTGGGCTAGTAAGAGTGGAGATCATTAAAAGGAAGTGATAAGAACGCAGTGAGCAGAAAAAATCTGGAGACGCAAGTGGATGGTCAATGTAAAAAGAAGAAAGCTTCAGGGAATCAAGCTGACACCCAAGGCAAATCTCCTGTAGAGGTGGGAAATGTCTGAGGGAGTTAGAAACACAACCAGTGAGAGAAATTGAGACAGAACCGTACCCTGTCAGAAGATGTTGTTGCATCAAAATCTAAGCACTTGTGGAATCAGGTGGATTTCACTGGAACTGTATATGCTGGAAGAAAACTACAGGAAAAGAGCTGACAATGTCAAAATGTTCTTTTTCAGCATTTTCAGAATGAAATGTTCCAAGTGTTTGTTTTCAAACTTTTTTTACGTTTTGGATTTTCTATGATATGACAGAAAAGTCAGTCAACATTGAAACAAAAGCACTTGATTGTCTGTAATGGGGTGTGTGTGTGTGTGTGTGTGTGTGTGTGTGTGTGTGTGTGTGTGTGTGTGTTCCCCTTCTTCACAAGTATAAGAATTTGGGGACTTTTGTTCCTCATTGGAATGGAGCCAGATTTTTGAAATCTCAAAATCTTTCATGAAACAGAATGCCCTCTTAAACATAAATCTAGCTAGAAAAGTTGGGGAGATATCTGTGTTCCAATTCTGAAAATATTAGGAACACATAGTTAAAGAAAAGAAAAGACGTGTACTTAAATACCCAAGGCAGAGAAAAATATGAGTCAGGGCAGTGAAACAGGATCTTTTTAAATGATCTTAGAGAGTTAGATTCAGCAAACTCCACACAGCAGGGTGCAGTGGGATTTGATGCAGCTAAGGAAATGAATTGTACTTAAGGGAGGCAGTATTCTTCCCCAGGACAGGTTCTTTGGGATGTGCCTGTTATAGTGCTTCAGTGTTCCCTCTGCAAGCTAGTCCTGCATCACGTTTGAAGGTAGGTGGTGGGAGTAAGGTCATGACTCTCCCAACCATTTTGGGGGGTGGGTTTACGCCAACAAAAGTGCTGAAATGGAGCAAAGCTTGTGCTCCCCTGGAGACCGGACCTCAAACGTTGACCCTTTCATGGGCATACCCATTAGGCCTGTACGAAGTGGCAAGTATTCACTTCGGATTTGGATGTGGCTTATTTGCAGGGACAGCGATTCAATTCAGAGATTCAAATCACTGTATCGATTCAATTCAGCCAAATTGAATCCAAAGATTTGATGCTGCTTTGGAGATTCGGCCACAGACTAAACAGGCAGCAGTCCTCACCACGCTGGACACAGCTGCCTCCAGCTGCTAAGTCTGTTGTGGTGGGCGGAGTGGGGAGGGAAAG